TGTGAGGCGAGCGGTGGGGGGGTCCTCTCTGCCCCGCAGCCTCCTACAGATTCGTGGTGCTCCACTTCAACTGCCTCCTCACCTTCGGCTCCTACTTCTGCTTCGACATCCCCAGCGTCCTGCAGGAGCAGTTCCAGGGGGTGAGTGCGGGGCGTTCGCCTGGGCTGCGGCCCGGAGCGGGGAAGGCAGAAAGAGGCAGAACCGGCCAGACAGAGGCCTTGGCCGTCGGTAGTTTCCAAACCTTTCCTCCTGGTGTCAGTGCAGGAGCCGTGCTGCAGGGTCTGCGTTTGAGGTGCTGCGGGTGAGGGGTTGTTAATGCCGCTCTCGCTGCTGCCGGGAGAACTGGAGGTCTGAAACCCGGCTTTGGTCGATGGCTGTCGACTCTCCGCCCCGACGCCTGTTGGCTACACTCAGGAAGTTGAGGTTTAGAGCGGTGTTCACACCACTCTGCACGCAGAAGGTACGTAGGATTGATCGCTAGGACCTACGCTGGGCTGGTAGCTTAGCAGTGTCAGAGGCAGGAGACCAGGAAGGACCTCCTGGGCCTTCAGATACAGGCCTCTCGCTACCGCAGGTACCACGTCACGCGTTGAGGCAAAATGCAGCGCCATGCAAGGAGATCCGGCCATCCTGCGACAACCAGTCGTGTTCCTGTGGTGTAGGTCAGGGCTCAGATATCCCAGTTGATTTATGGGATTTCTCCAGGGGTGCCGGAGCTCCCAGCTTCTTACCTGAATTCCTGACAAATACTAACCTTCACTCGTTTATCGTCCGTTGCGTTTGCTTCACGCGTGCCATCTGCCGGCGGGTTAACGTGTGTGGGCTGGGCGTCCCTGTCCTGCTCTTTGCCCGCTTCAGTAACAAGGGCAAAAATAGACACAGTTTGCATGTTTGGGTTTTTTTTCCAAATGCAGTTAAGCCACAATATTCAGACAGGCAACTCCTGGCTGAATTGGGTGCAGTTTGTCATTGCAAACAGCAGTAAAATGGAAAAAAAAAAAAAAAAGGGCAGTATTTATTCCTTGATCTTCCACAACATCTGTAGGTCTGTGAGAGAAGAGTCACTGATTTACGGAGTAAAGGAAGGGTTATGTCATATTTCATTACCTAGGTAACTCTGTAGGGTAGTGAAACCAAGCCGTACTTCTCTGTGCTGGGTACTGTGCAAACAGAGACTTTAGCTGTTGACAGTCTCGCCATATTTTCACTCTGGTGATTTTAGCCTCGGCCTGCCTTACACAAGTGGTTCAGTGGCAGAGCATCTAAGACCAGGGATTGCAGTGAAAACACTTTGTTCTAGAGAACTGTTTCCCCACAGCCTCAGACGTTTCTACTAGAGCATTCTATTGAGGGGTTTGTAAACATGATGGCTCTACAAAAATGACGTGGCTAAAATCATCCTTATGCTTATTCAAGACCTTAAGCTTGCTCCTGCTGGTGGGGCACATTTAGCATCTGTTTCCTAATGCAGGTTTATTTTTAGTAGTTGGAGGATCTAGGATTTTTACTGATAGTATTGAGGAGATGTTGCTTTTCAGTAGCATAAATGTTATTACATGGTGCTAGGACTACCAGTTTCATAGCTGTGAATTAATGTGGACTACTGCTAAGTTTTGTATTTACACACTTAGGATGTTAAGGTATGTAGTGAAGAGTCCAACTGAGCTAAACCATAGCCAAGAAACTAAGGGATCAAATAAACCTTGTGGTGCAGCCTCCTGGCTTTTCTCTTGGAGTGAAATGTGTGTAGAAGTACTGAGCCCCTGCTGTTGCTGCTGCCACAGAAAGGGGAAGGGAAGACGTGCCATGCGGAGAGCCCATCACTTCTCATTTGGCAAGGACTGGCTTCCTGGGAGAAGACGTGAGTCCTCTAATCCTTAGTCACAGAAATGGCAACTGAGTAGGAGAAATAGAAATCTAGTAGGCAAGAACTTAACTTCATTTTTGAAGGAACACGTGGGTTTTCAGCTGTGTCTGCTGCCTAACACAGACTCTGAGTTGTTAGCAGAACTTGACCTGCCCCAATGGCACCCATGGTAACAGCACCGGGCATAATAACAGCATGCTGGGCTGTGTTGAAGGCTTGGGAATGACACCTGCACAGTACAATTTGCTGTATGCCATCTATGCTTGGACATGAGTCACGTTTCTCTTGCTTTGTGGGAGTGGGGTTGTTGCTTCCCAGCAGCAAGACACAAATGCTTCTGTTCTTGTTTTCTCATAGAAATGCAGTCGTGGTTATTCTGGCTGGATTCCTGATTGATAAACTAGGAAATTGCTGTAAGTTTTGAGGATTGATTAATTTGTTCTTGTACTGAAGTGGGATTTCAGGCTGTTATTTCACAGCAAAGGGATGATCAAAGCTTCCACTTCATTAAGATCACAGAGGGATGGGAGGGGAGGAACAGCTCTGTGCGCGGAGCACATGACGGTTAGTTGAGCAGCTCCATGGAGGCAGCAGACATTTTCATCCTTTGACTACTGACTTACCTGAATTTACACAGCAGTGCACTAAATGTGCTTTCCTCTGACACGTGGGAAGAGGGAACAGTGCCGCCCATTTTCAGTGGGACAGACTGATAGTAGTGTTCTGTTCCCTGCTCTGGCGTGTGCCATAATCTAAGACCCAGCAGTCCCAGCAAATGCAGTTATGTCTCGGTATCACAGAGGTAATGTCTTACACAACAGAGGTAACGTCTTACACATGAGGAGACGCACGGAGGAGATGGCTTGCTCTCGGCCATAGTCTGTAGTGGAGCTTAGGACAGGCAGGGGCTCTGTGGAGTTCAGAGGCCTCTATCTGACTTCCTCTACCTCTCTAACCTGCCACCGTTTATAAAGAGACCGGTATTTACAGAATTAAAATAATGAGGGTAAACTGATGGAAACCCACAGGCTTACTGGCTTGTTTTGAGGTTGCTCTTTTGCTTTTTGACAATGAATGCTTTTGTCCTGGTCTCAGCATGTCTGTTAAGGGTTGTGTTTTTTGGTGTTTGTTGGTTTTGGTTTTTTTTTTTCTGTTTCTCCGTAGTTGGTGTCTTTATTTTCTCTCTTCTGACTGTGCTGGGATCATCGATCTTTGCTTTAGGCTCACATTTCAAGGGGTCACCATACCTCCTACCGATGATGTTAACAGGAAGACTGCTCTTTGGCTCTGGGAATGGGTCACTGACTAGTAAGGAATTCACCTTCTTAATTATGTCTCACCAGACGGTATACATTTTTGGTTTGCGTCACAGACCCTCGGCCTACCAGTTTCATGTGCACTGCACTAGGAACTGACCTTGTTAGCAGACGAACACTGCTCCTTCAAGAGCTGCATGAAATTAGTGTGAACCAGTGTTTTAAAGTCTTCCCCACTAACAAGTTTGACCTTCTTTCAGTATTGTCCCAAATCTGGGTTCCTCACCCACTGTGCAATAAGCCAATCCACACGCAGAGTGAAGGTATTTGTTCCTTGCATGTCTGCGCAGATGGGTGCTAGGTGGTGACTCCACAGAGCTGGCACTCCTTTTGAGAAATAAGCCAGGTCTGCTATGTCAGATAATGACAAAGAAGAAACCACCACAGTGAGTGATGAGTCAGTCATTCCTTACTCCTGTCTTTACATGTGAAAGCAGAAATTACCCTTCTCTTATCTCGAGACACCTGTCTTTGAGAGCAGTTTGAGGCCATCAGGGTGTGATGATCTGGGGCCAAGCTCCCTTCCCCTGGGGCCATCTCCATCTCCCCCCATTCATCAGCTATACAAGCCCACCTGGTTGGGAAACCCAGAGCTTTTGTGACTGTTAACCCTTTTCTTCCCACAGAACCGAGGGTGGGGTCTGACATAGGATTGCTGTGCCTTCGGGGTTATTTTTGCTTGCCTTATTTGACAAGTTCACCTCCCATGTCCCAGCATGATTTAGTACGTTTTAGATGAACTGGGAAGCTGACACGCATTACCTCGGCTGGGGATGAGTAGATGGCTCTTACCCCAGCTCAAGCACTTGAGCTGAGAGGCTGTGTTGGTTGGTTCTGCGCAATGCTCTTGGCTGTCTGTTCAAGAGAGGATTGTTTTCTTCTCCAAGTTGTGCAGAACCGTATCACAGCTTTCTGGTTCAAGGGGAAGGAACTGGCACTGGCATTTGGACTGACTCTGTCTTTCTCCCGTCTTGGGAGCGTCCTCAACTTCTTCTTCACCCAGCAGTTTGAGGCAAAATTTGGAATGCAGTGGACACTCTGGGGAGGTGAGTTTCTTTGGTGCTTTTGCTTGTGTTCTCTAGACCTGGGGCTAGCCTGTTTATCCAGTTATGAAAAGTACCTGAAAGAGACAGTGAACTTACTGGAAGGCAGCACATTGTTTTCCAGTGTTTCCTGTTGCTTTCTGTATGCAATAGAGTGTTGTTTTGTCACTGATGCTTGAAAACCCTGTCTAAAGCTGCAGTGTCAGCCTGCAAGTTTTGCCTGCAGTTTTCTGGAGACACTGTAGCACCTGCAGTCACAGATAGTCAGTACTTCGTGTAGGTTTACTCCCATTGAACGGAAACATCGGTGAAAGAGGAATCAAATGTGTTTGTTCCTCTGTATTCTAGCTAGCAAACATGCTGGTTCTGTAGTAGTATCTGTATTGCTCTCAGCTTAAGGCGCCTTGCATGCCAATCAATCAGAGTTTAACTTACTGTGAGGAACAGAATCTGAATTACATATTTGTTCTAGGACTCATATCTTTAGATAGTGTTGTCCTCTCTTTTGTGCAGTGAGATGGGATCTGTCTCTAGTGGAAGCCATGATCTGCACAGTGCTGTTCAGTGGTGGCACTCAGGGAGTGGGGATGTTGGGGAGACCTGCCTCAGGGCATCCTTTGTATACTCAGTGATTATAGGAGAGTGTTATTTCCCAGCCAATAAAACAGTGCAGGCCATCAGCCCACAGTGATGGGCTAGAAAAGGACAGGGGAGAGAAATCCCTTGCAGAAATTGAAACCCCTTGCTCTCCTCTGATTCCAGCTCTCAACGAAGAAAATGTGGCAGTCGTGGCATACTGCGTCCCACCTGAGACTATTGGTTGTGTGCTCAGGCAGCGTTTGCAAGCACAGCACAGCAACTTCAGTAGCCCGTGAACGGGTATATACATCAGAAAGTGTGTATGCATCACAGAGGTGATTTTGGCTCTTCAGAAGACAAAACAGATAGGGCTCGCTGTGAAAGTTGCTGTTTCTGGCATATCCAGCATAATCTCACTCACTTCTCTGGAGCTGAGTGTGCTGACAGGCCAGATTGCTGTAGTAACTGCAGTGGTCACGTATGTGCAGAGGTGTAACTTGGCTTCCAGTACCGGCTCGTGTGTGATGCCTCTCCAGCTCAGGGGCTCATGGAGGTTTCTTTGTGTCTGGCTTGTTTGAACACAGGCCTGCTGTGGTTGGGAACACATTCTGGCTGTAGTCCCAGCAAGTGGCTGTCTGAGCGGGCTGAAGCTTTAGCTTCACTGGCTTCAGGCAGTTCTGCTTTGGAAGCTTAGTGGAGAAAGAGCTCAAGGACTCTGACAGGGTGGCCAGCGGTAAATGGTCCCACCAGATGGATGCAGCAGGAAAGGCTATTAATGTTAGAGAAATCAAGAGTAAGAGTCAGAATTCCGCCAACATGCTGTTGGTTTCACCATTCAGCTCTCTCCACGCTGAGGGATTTCTAACGCCTATTGTCTTTCGCAGGTACCCTGCTCTGTGCGCTTGGTTTTGTTTCAGCCCTCACAGTCAGTGTACTAGATAAAGTGGGCATGAAGCAACTGGGCTTGGATGGGCTTATCCAGGAAGAATCCAAAAAAGTGGTATGTGGTGCAGAGACAGCTTTTCCATCGCAGTCTTTGAAAGCCTGGGCTGCAGGAGCGCTGCTTCCGCAGTGCAGGGAAGCCTGCAGCAGTACGAACTGGCCCTGGCCAGGCGAGGGCGTTACACCACTTGATCAAATCATGCGGAGCAGTTCTTCAGCTCCGTGTGAGGATACCGCATCTGCAAGCCACCGAAGGCTAAATTTTCTGTGTAGAGCCTGCGTATTTGCAGCCTTCCAGAGAGCTGAGTTAGCAAACGGCATTACTTTTCCGACCCAGTTACTTCTTGATTGTAGGTGGCTCAGAGGAGGATCCTGTGCATGAAACTAGATAGCAGCCTCTCTCTGGAATGGCTTTCTCGCTCACAGGATCAGAGATAGGAATAGCTAACCTGGTCAGTCAGTACTGAAGTATCTTTTGCCAGCCCTTATCTTCCTTGCGTTCCTCTGGCTAGGAACGAACATTACAGGCAATAGGTTGCAATTTTTATGGCACTTAGATCTATTGGACCGCTTCTTCTCATGAGTGTTCTTGCTGGTTCTGTGTCTGTGTTGTGACTCCTGTTTCTACTGTTCTTTCTCTGTGTTCCACCTAAGGTTTTGCAGTAGGCTCTTAACAGAGATCGCTTAGTAGAATAGCAGCCATAACCTTTCTAAAAAGAAGAAAGCTTTTGTTTTGTTTTCTTTACTGTGTTAAGGAAGGAATGCTTTGGAGTCAGCACATGCCAAATTTCACTTAGAGATACACGAGCTGCCTTAATTCCCTTTTACCTGCTGCTACCCAAATTTTTTGTGACATCCAGTGGCCTGTAGAAAGTAACATTAGTGTGAAGCTGAAGACTGTTTCCTGCTAATCTTATCATTGCAGCGCATTCAGGACATCCGTCAGCTTCGCCTTCACTACTGGCTCCTGGTCTTCACCATCCTGTTCTTCTACAATGGACTCTTCCCTTTTGTGGCCGACGCCAGGTACGGCTGTAGGCCCACTGACTGATACAGGCCTATCCGAGCCTTGCAGGCCCTTGATTTTTAGTTGACTGGGAAATATGGGGGTAATATGCTTGTTCCTTCCACTCACGAAACACAAAGAAACCGACTTTAACACCTAGTTAAAGAATATGAAGGTTTGTTGACCTTTCTTTCCCTTCAGAGATGAGGGAGGCCTCTGAAGGAAAGCAAAAGTCACTTAAAGGGACATGATTCATCCAATATTTAAAGCTGTGAACACTGCTAAAGGAGGATCAGAAGGATTTGGGAAGAGAGGAACAAATCCTTTAATTAGAAAACAGCCTGTAGCCATTTCACCTTTGTGACAGTCCAACAAAGGGTCTGTCTTTTGAGCTGGCTGGGGTGTTGGCAGCACAGGCCTAGGGCAGTTCTGTCCCATTCCTGGCGCTGTCTGCTGTGTCTGGAAGCAAGCTAAGCTTGCATCAGCCTGGTCTGTAAGCGAGGAAGCCTTTGCATCCCAGTGCAGGGCTTGCAGACTTACTTTTTTAGGAGTTCATTTGCTTAAAACAAAGACGCAACCTGCCCGACTAAATTGGGACTCCTGCTTCTGTACTTGGCTCTACCACAGACTTGTAATTTTGCTGGTTTTTTCCTGTTTGTGGATGATGCGGCTTCTGTCACAAGTATGAAGTTTTGTATTAGCAAAAGCCTGCAGTAAAAAGAAAATTATTTTGGTGGTATTTCATTATTGAGGTATAAGAAGCCACTGTGAAATCGGGAGTGAAGGAGTGTCATCAGTATTGTCATAACAAATGCACAAGTGACCTCTTATTAGTAAAAAAAAAGACATTCACGATGGCAAGGATCGTCAAGGCCTTGATGAGATGGGCCTTCTATCAGCTGCCCTCTCATTTTAATGGAAAACAGTGTCTGCTGATGACCAGAATCCTCATTTCTGCAATTCTGCAGAATTCTTCTTTTTTGCTCCCTGTGGAGCAAAAGTTGAGGTGCCAAGAGTCATGTTTTGCATATCTCTTTCTGGCAAAAAATGCTGTGCTGCTTCCCAGTCCGAAAAATAATGGTCCCAAGGCCACTGCTTTTTGGCAAATGCTGTTGCAGTCAATCCCAAGTGAAGTGTCTTGTTTCATGCTTTGCTGACAGCACAGGCTATAAGGGCTCATTATTACTAATTGTGAGTAGCCACACAAGTAGCCAAACCAGGTTGAAGTCGCTACACGATCTCTAAATAAACTAGTCTGTCTAAGCCATTATGGCGGTGTGATTGTAAATTCTGTAAAGAACTGGAGTACGATTTAATGCCATTTTTGTGTGTCCCTTACAAAGGTGAAAGGCTGACTTCTGACGCTGAACACTAAACTTGGTTTGTGTGTTTTCTGCTTTAACCAGAATTCTCCTTAAAGATGCCAAGGGGGAATTCCTAGTATTTCTAAAATCCAGGTGTTCAGTTTGAATGCTGAGATTTGCTGCTGGATTATTTTGAAATACTTTTCCAGCCCCTCATCATTCTCACTCTTGGGTTGATGCTGCTTTCTGCCTCTGCAGGGCGAGTGCAAAACACCCGTCTGTACGGATGCATCCGTACTGGAACTAGACATTTCCTTAAGGTCCCTCCCAACCTAAACCATTCTGTGTTTGGAACAGGTGATGGCAGATTGGTGCTTTCAGCTCTGCTGTGATCACTGAACCTGTGCCCAACCTTAACCTGCAGTTTTACTCAGCACTTGCAAAAGCACCTTGACAGCAGCCATTTAATCTACCAAGTGGGCACCGATTAAAAAGAAAATAAACACAGGCTTGCGACTGCAAATCAAACTTGTTTGCAAGTCCTCTCATTAAAACCCTTCCCGTCCATATGTTTGTGTTCAGACTTTCTTTCTGTCAAAATACCAGATCAAGAACACTAATTTTGTCATTTCTCCCCCCCTTTCATTTCATTTTTAGCAAGTTTATCCAGGATAAATATCCTGGTTATAGTCAGCAGACAGCTGCTTATATTGCTGGGGCAGTGTACGACAGCTCCCTCGTTCTCTCTGCAGCAGTTGGCATATTAATTGTGAGTACCCAAAACCAGAAGTGCGGGTTGATAACTTTTTCCTCATATTTTGAAACGTCTCTGTTACAACTGTTACAACTCCCTCAACCAGAATTTAGCAGTCCTTTAATTCCTTGCAAACTGCAAGATGCACTTTAATCTGAATTAAATTACAAGAAATGTTAACCTGTTTTTCCCTCTGTCCCTTAACTGCACCGTGGTAGGATCAAGCCGTGGCAAATGGCTGCGTGTTTTGAGAAGTCTGAGACTGGAACAGAAAGGATCAGCATAAGATTTGCAAATAGACAGGAAAGGACAACCTGTGTGTAATCAGCTCCCATTTGGTCAGACACTTCCTTTCCTTCCCTCAGTAGTTGCCAGGGCATAACGGTGTGGTTTTCCTCCCCCCTTACTACAGACTGCCCTTTCACATGAACACTGGGCACTGACTCTGACAAGTTCCAGCCTCGGTTCAGGGGTATGCAAGAGGAAGTAGTCATAGCTAGTCTGCTATGCCACTAGGAAGTGACACGTTACTGCCACTCAGCCAGCCCACTCTGCGCAGCCACTCGTGTCACAAGGACGCGTGGGAAGCAAGGATTGCTTGTCAGCAGCCTTCTGTATGTTTCCTTTGCCAGGACTATGTTGGACTGAGAGGTGTCTTTGCTGTTAGCTGTGCTGCATTGACTCTGCCAGTCTTCACTCTCCTGGCATTTACGTTTGTTCCCCCGTTAGTCTCTACCGTCTGGCTGGGGATTACTTACTCCTTTGCTGCTGTAAGTTCACAACCCCACTGCTGTAGCTGAGTGTTGTGTGGCTGTGCTCCTTCTACACCCTGGATACCACTGGCCTGGCGTCCTGGTGAGCAGGTTTAGCGGCCGCAGTTTGAAGTCACTGGCTCCCCAATCCTGAAAACTTTGGTTAGTAACGAATAACCCCCAAGAATCGCTGTGGAGCGAAACGCAAAGCAGAGGAGCGTTTGATGCAGCATGAAGCGTGAATGTGTCTGTGCTTTTCTTGGTGCTTGTTTACCTCTAATGAATCTCCTTTCAGTCTTAGGAGCTAAAGGATCGGGTCTAACTCCCCTGCAGAAACCTGCAGCACATTATTCCAGTTACAGATAACACGTGTTGACTGTGTTGTCTGCAGCTGCTTGAAAGATGGGGAACAGTCTAGAACCAGTCAATAGGCTGGAAGGGATAAGTACCAGATTGTTTTGAAGAGAAAAGTATAAATCATTATTATTTAGTGGGAATAACTCCTTTTTAAACCAATGATGACCACCTAACTCTTTTGAATAAGGCTTTGAGATAATTCCTCTTCTCATTACTCCTCCCAGGCCAGCATGTGGCCATCCATACCTCTTGTGGTCCCACAAGCAACTTTAGGGACAGCTATGGGGCTTGCAAGGTCTGTGCAGATGGTTGGAGTTGGCCTTTCAAATCTGATCGTTGGACACATTCTCGGAACGAAGTCCAGGTGAGAATGCTTGTGCTTCTTTGTCAAACACAGACATCAACAGTACTTTAGTAGAGCAGTGTGAAGAGAAATCTGTCTTTCCAACCTGATGCTGCAAGGAACTATAGAGGTGCCTTAAATGTCAAGTGACTAGTTGTTGTATCCTGTTTTGGCCTTTTGTAGTGAACTAAAGATCCCCCTGTGGCGCTGGCAACAGATGATGATCTTAATCTTGGCAAACACTGTCGCCTGCATTGTTGCCTCGGTTAGCCTCAATGTTGTGGACAAGAAACAGGTAAGTGTGACAGAAGATGAAGAGTAGGCTTGCATCACTGAGTTGCTTTTATTGGTGGAATAGCTGTTGGGTGTGTATGTAAGTAACTCCCCCGACATAAAAATGGAACTGTATAAAAAGAAGACTTCTAAAATACTGATGCAGCGCAGAGTAGTCTTGCCTGGTATCAAGCTATCAGAGGCTGTACTTTTGTGCAAGAAGGCGAGGGGAATCATCTGGAACAGTTGGAAGGGACCTTAAAGATCATCTAGTTCCAACCCCCCTGCCATGGGCAGGGACACCTTCCACTAGACCAGGTTGCTCAAAGCCTCATCCAGCCTGGCCTTGAAGACATCCAGGGATGGAGCATCCCCAGCTTCTCTGGGCAACCTGTCCCAGTGCTTCACCACCCTCTCGGGGAAGAACTTCTTCCTGATATCTAATCTAAACCTCCCCACTTTCAATTTAAACCCATTACCCCTTGTCCTGTCACTACAGCCCCTTGTAAAAAGTCTCTGTGTCCCCCCCAGCCTTCTTGTAGGCACCGTCAGGTCTCCCCGGCGCCTTCTCTTCTCCAGACTGAACCAGCCCATCTCTCAGCCTGTCCCCATAGGAAGGGCCAGGACACAGCTGTGGACGGGAAGAACAGTATCCTTTTTGTCACTGATTGCTTCTTTGAATTTCTAGGGTGGGACACTGAACAGAACGAGAAAGGGAGCACCTGTGGAGCAGGAGGACAGAGACCCAGCTCCCCTCCTTGATGATGAAACAGGAAACAAAGGCTCTGTCATCTGAAACTTCACAGTGCAAGAACAATGACAGCTGCCAGACACAGCACTGAGCCTTTCTGTTTGAAAGTGGATTTTTAGCCTGTGTATTTTAAACACCTTTAAAGGCACTCTTGAAGGGAACCATCTGCAGCAGGGGAATGTTTCCACTGTCTCACACCTGGCACACAAGTGAGAGGTGTCTGTTGTATAGTTCTTGAGCATTCTCCAACATACAGAAACCTGCATGGGGCACTTTAAGAAGTACATTACAGTAAGTGAAATGACCTAGCTGAAGCTTGTTCACACGCCATTAGGTAGTTGCTTTTCGCTCTTGCAGAACTGCCCACATAAGGTATGCGTGTCTGGTCCACCACCGTTTCTCGTCAGCAGTCTGCACTTGCTGACTCACATGCCCCAGCAGGCCTGCCAGTTCAGTTACTGCTTGCACATGACACCATCGTTATTCTTTAGGCAGCAGACTGAATTAATCAAATTGATTACCTTTTGCACACAAGCTTAGCTTAACTGCTTATTACCTTACTAGAAATACTTCCGTGAGCCACGCCTATTCATTTGCCTTCAAAAACATAGAAGGTTTTGCTCTGGAATGCTGTCCTTTAATGCAGGGCGCTCTTACTCATGAGTGCTAGAGGCTGCTTCTACTCAGCCAACTGCCCTTTTCACTATGCAAAACACTCAGTGTCTACAGAAGCACAAAGGGTGCTTTAAGAATGAAGTAAACTTTAACATAGCCACTACAAGGAATGCTGAAGTAAAGGACTTAATTATTACAGATTCTTAAGAGAAAGAGCAGCTTCATTCAAGTTGCATTTAATGTAAACACTAATAGATTGAGAGCAATGGAAGCATTGACAGCATCCAGTAAAGTCACATTTTAAGTAGTTGTCACCAAAGACAAATCTTCCCATGAAAGCAAAGTTGTCTTGAACTGATTTACTGATGATGATGTGTTCAGTTTTAAGTTGCACTGTGAATTCATTTCACACTGCAGGCAATTGAAAGATTTCCCTGTTGGAATCTGATGCAGCAGAAATCTGGAGGTGAGAAGTCACAGAACTGCAAAATCAGACTCCTTTAAGTTGGCAGCAACCTCCTGAGATCCTGTAGTCCAACACCCCCTGCTCAAGCAGAGTCAGCCAGAACAGGTTGCCCAGGACCGTGTCCAGTCAGAGTTTGAGCATCTCTGCAGAGGGAGACTCTACATCTGGACAACCTGTCCCAGTGTGTGGCTGCCCTCACAGTAGAGAAAGTGCTTCTTCATGTTCAGATGGAATTTCCTGTGGTTTACTTTGTGCCCCTTGCCTCTTGTGCAGAGGAGAGACTGGCTCTCTCCCCAGCAGGTGCTTAAAGACACTAAGATCTCCCTGAGCCATCTCTTCTCCAGGCTGAACAGCCCCAGCTCTCTCAGCCTCTGCTGCTATGAAAGATGCTTCAGTCCATGAACCACCTTTGTGGCCCATCACTGCACTCCGTCTCCAAGTCACATCTCTCATACTAGGGGGCCCAGAACCAGACTTGGCACTCCATAGGAGGCCACACCAGTGTTCTCAGCTGGTAAGTCAGACTCCTGCTAGACTGTAGGTTTATGTACATCTCAGCCTCCAGTCATTCCCCTGTGCTGAAATCCTGCAGTTGCATTTTTCTGTAGTGAAAAAACCCCATGGTGAATGTCCAAATACAATTATGAAAACCCACATGCAGTAGTACTATATAGTCGCATTGGAGGCATGTGCACCAAAGAAGGTCTGTGTCCAGAGCTGATTTTTTGTGTCAGTGCTACCAGTGCTTAAAAAACCATGACTCCAGCCTGGCTGTCAGGAAGTCACCAGTTTTCTCAGCTGCAGGTAAATACAATGGGGTTGGTCCTATAACACCCCCTGAAAACCCTGTACTCTCCAGGGAAGAAGCTCAAAAGCCAGCCATTCCTTTCTACCATCCCATAATCTACTTCCAGATTACCAGAAAACAAACTGTATTGAAGAAGAGTTGTGACATACTTTCCATGAAATCTGCCGCTGGTTAGCAGGGTTCGTGACAGTGTGGCACTGGAAGTCTCACTGCCTACTCTACTGCGTTTCACTGTGAAGCGTTTCTGTGTCTTTCCTATGTGCTTCGCTTATTAGAACAACTTCCCTTGCCCACAGCAGTTTTTGTGGATACCATTGCACAAGAGAACAACTTCCCTTGGCCACAGTTTTTGTGGATACCATTGCACAAAGATGTGCTTTTAGAAACCTTTTCACATAATCTGAAGATGCGGGGAGATTTGAGTGACCTTCAGGTCTTGCACAGAGACCAGAAGTTGAGAGGATACAGGCAAACAGCTGTTCTAAAACACTGCTCATGTCTTTCAGCTCAGATAGCAAAGCTTGAAGCTGAGGAAACAGAAGGCAGAAAATCAGCCTTCCTGCAGCAGTACCTGCTCCTCTTCATTACAGTACATCACCAGCTTCCTGTTACTCCTGTTTAACTGCTGCGCTGATGACAGGAAAGCCACTTTCACTTTGCCTGCCTTCCCAATTCCTGCTTGACACCTGCTGCTGAGATGCCAGAGCTCACTCCTGAGAAACATTTTACAAGGTAATGGCATGGTGCTCTGCTTGTTTGAGCCTGTCATGAAAGGCTGGCACTCGGAGAGCAAAACGTGCTGCAAGAACCAGAAACAATCAGCTGGGTTTAATTTTTGTAGTGTTGCACTTCTGTACACAGGTGTCCAAGAGCCCCACTCTTTCTCCAGCCTTGGCAACCCTGGAACAGTAAGCTCTTTTCAACACTACTCTTATGCCAGAGGAAGGTTCTGCCAAAGAAACAGTGGATTGCAACTCTTTAGTATGACCTGTGAAACTTTATAAAGTGGACTTCAGGCAACTCACCAAGGTGGATTTTTTCTTTTGGCTCATCCTGCTCCAGAGCCTGCTCCCAGAAGCCAAGATGTTAAACACACAGTGAAGCCCACATTTACATAAGCATGTGGGAGGTGGCAGCAGAGAAAGAGCCATCATCTTTATGAATAAACCAGCACAATATGAAGTTTCTGGTACTTCCAATACCCTTTGATACAGAGCTGTTCATGTCTCTAGCCTAAGTGGCATATAGCATATCCCCAGCAGGAGCATGGCAGGGGATAGTCAAGAAGCCAGTGGCAGCACAGTTACTATTTAAAGTACATGTATATGCAGGAGAGAGGAAGAAAGCAGTAGGGTGAAACCAAATTAGAAGCTGGCTGGAGCTAGAGAGGCTGATGGATAAAGCAAATTACTGCGTTCTTGCTGGTTATGGCCAGCATTTTGACCTGCTTGAAGAGGAGGAGGTCCTGTTAACAGTGTAAGGAGTTGTAGCTTGAAAGAAAGGAAAAGCCAGATTCAAGAAAAGATAATAGTCATCTACCAAAGGCAAGGTAATAAAACTAATCAGGACTGCAAATTTAGCACAGTAGTTGAAACCTGTTCTTTCTGCTCACCGACTCTTTTCAGAGGGAGAAGAAAGTAGGAATTGGGCCTGGACATCCAGCTTAGTCTGCTGGCTGTCTGCAGCAATAAATCATTACTCAGCCTACTTCTTGCACCGCTGATGCAGCCTGATTCATGTCATTACCTGTTGTCATGAGCCAAAGTGTCTCTATGACCCTGTGCTGTTACCAGCAGATAGCCTGTGCTCACAGAGGTCAGGATCCTTTTGCTCTCTCTAGTCTTGTACAGCACAGCATCCTGGCTGTGACCCTACTTTATTCCGCAAGAAACAATGGAAAATCCCAGCCTCAACAACATTGTACACCATCCATCACCTTTTCCAAAGGGAACTGATACAGGATTTCAGCAGAGCTTCGAGCTGAAATTCAATAGGAGACACATCAGAGGGCTTGCACAAAATGCTGGGTGGCCAGCTGGCTTCAAACTACGAAGATGCAAGTTGACAGGCAGGCCTACTCCACATTTGTAGGCAAGCATCAAACTGCTCTCCACTGCATGATCACACAGGTAGCCAAGACACTTGGATGTCCATACACCAGTGTGATCATATATGTAAGCAACTGCAAGAGGTTTTCAGGGAACATACACAACCGTTACTCATTCAGCATTTAAATAACTGTCTCCAGACAATGCTACATACGTTCTGTCACCAAACAAGGCCCAAGAACATACTTCAGATCTCCCAAGTCTGATTAACCTCTATAAAGCCTTCAGAAAACCACAGTAATGCTACTTAAAACACTGACAGAGAGGATGTTAGTCTCTGCCCTGGAAAGCGCACAGTGGGCTGTTTAGCGACGGCTACACAGGGCTGTAGCAGAAGGACCATACCAGCCAGCGCTTGCTTGAGATACCGCATGGAAGCCAGCAGCCTTGACAGGGAAACATACACTGACCTGGGTTAACTGGGTTCACAGGCAATCGTGATGAGATGAGAGAGTGCAGCTGGCCTGCTCATTAGAACTGTCTCCTCCCATACTGGACAGACACGGGTATTTAGGAACTAAGCCGCAGCTATGCCTGGAATTGTACACATGACTTAGGAAAGCAAGCTGTCCTTTTGCCACTGTCCAACCTAAGCTTAAGTAACAGTCAATCATCATTTTCCTTCCACGACTGAAACAGTAATGTGGATGAAATTCTACCCTAAGTGCTTAAGCTACAAACCTTCAGTTTAGGAGCGAAGCAATGAGGTCATGTTCAGGGTTGCAATGTGAAACCCTATTATAGTCTGGTAGTTGGCAGCAGTTCAAAGGAAGGACAGTCCTTTGTTGCTAATGTGTTACCAAGGATCTTGACAAGCTCCCCCACCAAGCAGACCCTACCCAAAGCACTGCGCATGCTTGAGAAGAGCTCTGAACTACAAATGGCACCACTCTTGGGTGCAAGACACAGAAGTCACTGTAGAAACAAGTGCTGGCGGAGAGGCTCTGTAGGGCAGCAGAGTCTGTAAATTAAGGGATGAATGCAGCAGATCTGTAATACCCTGGGCTGGGAGGCCACCACAACATCCACACAGAACTGGAATTCCCAT